TATTTAAACATAGTAATTTATTATATATATTATTCAATTTCTACAGTCTTAGTCTTAATAATTTCTACTTATTAGTTATTTTTCTTATTTAACCCTTCAATAGTATTTTTATAATTAACTTCATTTTATTAAAAATATTAAATATTAGTATTGAGATTATTAATCGTGTTTTTCATTTCTAAAATACTTTTATTTAATTCCTGGCTATTATTATTTAATTGATTAATATTTTCTTAAAGTTTATTCTTTTCTACTTGTAAATGTTCAATTTTTACTTAATAAGACTAAATATCGACTTTCAATTATTAATTCTCGGTTTTTTAAATAGTCAATTATTAACTAATGCTCTCGATTTCTACTTATAATTATTTCTTCTTTTCTACTTAAGTTTAAATGTTTGAATTTAACTATTAGATTTATTATTATAAACCATTGATTTCTAATGTAAAATTGCTAATTTATTTCTTATATTCATTACTTTCATTAACATAACAAATTTTATTATTTTCAATAGTTTCTTTCAGAACAGTAATTTCTTAATATAGTTTTTCTATTTCTTTTTAATGATTATGATTTTCTTAAATAATTTATTCGTTTTTCTATTTGTATTAAACAATATTAGTCTCGTGTATAGTAATAGTTTTTGTCAACTCCAAAATTTAGCTAGAGCTCTTTTATTCTTTCATAATCTTCACTGTATTCTATAGTTTATTTTATTATTTATTGAAATTCAACTCAGCATGTTCTTTATTTAAATTATCGATATTTTTATTCAATTCTTCCATATTTGCTTCTAATTACTTTTAGAGGTTTTCCTTCTCAGCTTTTAATTCTTCAATTAATTTAAGGTAAATCTTAATATCATTATTTAATTTAATATTCTCGTCCTAAGCTTGTGTTAAATAGAATTTTCTAATTTCTATTTCTTTAGTCAATTAAGCTTTCTATTATTCTAGTTTTTAATTTAACTAGATTTTTTATGATTAAAGATTGCTAATTTCATTCTACAAATCGACAATTTATTATTTTAAATTATTTATTTCCTATTATTAGTTTTAAAAGGTAGTATTATTAATCTAAATAGTCGAATTTAAATTTGATATTTCCTTCACATATTTTTCTATTTAGAATTTTTGTTATTAATTTTATTATTAAAATTGAACTATTTATTACTCATAATTCTTTATTTAAATAATATATTTATCATTCTAGTCATTTATATTAGCTATCTATTGTGTATAATTATTCTCTTATTATTAATATTATTAAATCTAAATACTATAATTATTAATTTCAACATTCATTTAGGACATTTCTTATTTTAAATTATTTATTATAGTAATGTTTTAGTTCAAAACTTCTATTTTAGTCATTTGTTATTATATTTCAATATTTAAAGTACTAATTTACTTTTTATAGTTTCCTTCTTGATTATTAAATTCGCTTTTTAACTACTCTATAGTGATATTTAACTAAGAAATCTATTCTTTATAAGAGTTTAAAGTTTTATCAAGTACTTCGATTTATTAAACTAATTAGATTCTTCTTTTATTACATTCTTCGAATTAAGTTCTCAGTTCTTTAATTTATGATTCATAACATTCCTTATTCCTATCACTTTCTTATTAAATGACTATAATTCGCTATTCGATAGTAGTTTTTTAAGTCTCAATTTCTATAATAGTCTATTTATTTTAAACAGATTATTTTTCGAGTTATTTTTTCAAGGAAATTATTTCCTTGTATTAATTTTCAATATTACTTTATTATTCTTCAATCTATATTTTAAGTTTATTTATTTATTCATTATAGTTCTAAATATCAATCTAAAAGATTTCCTTTTCTCTATATAAATTGTTCATTTCTATTTAGATTAAGGTTATCTTTTCTTCATATACTCTATTAGACTCAAAATTATCTTATTCGTATTGAGTTAATTTTTATCTCATTTCCTCTAATAAAATCTCATATTCTTCTTAGTTTTATCTTGCCCGAATTTCGAATATTTACTAATGAGACTAATCTTAGGCTAATAATTCGTTATATTAAGTTTAAAGTATAGTTAATTAGCTTTAAAGTTGCTCGTTTTCTTAACATTTATCATTAAAGTTCAATTATATTTCATTAATAGTTAATTAATAACTATTAATCTAAATGTTAATTTCATCTTAATAATTAGACGTGAATTATTCTAATTCCGATTTTAAAAGTTCTATTTATTAATTCAATTACATAATTTCCATGGAGTTTTTAGCTAATTATACGGCTTTAGCTTCATTTTATTATTATAAAGTTTAAATTCTTTACTCATATTTTTATTCATAAGTAGTCTTTAAGTTCTTCTATTGAATCCTCAACTCATTATTTTCATTCTATAATCTAGAATATCCAGACATCTTCATTTCATAGTCGTTTATTTTAGTATCTTTTTAAGCATTCATTTCCATTAGCTTCTTTATTTGTTCTTTAAGTTCACCAGAACCGGTTCCACTAGTATTCAATTACACTTATAGGATTGATATTTTCTCATTTAATTAAGATATTACTAAATCTTTATCTTATGAACCAGTACTTTAAGTTAATACAGATGATTAACTGCTTAATTATGTATTATTTAATTAAGCTGTGAGTTTATTCACTTTTACATTGAGCATAGCAACTTGTTCTTTTAGTCTTGCGTTGTCAGATTCCATTTTTTTTTTTTTTTTTAATTTTATTATAAATTGAATATATTTATTCTTGTTTTTATATGATGAATACGATAAATAAATATGTTGATGAAATATATATAAAAAATCAAAAATAATTAAACGTAAAAGAATATAAGATATTTATATTATTTTAAGATATGCGTAAAATAAATAAATAAATTTTTTTATTAATGATAAATATAAATATTATTATTTATTGCGAAAAAAATAATTGATTATAATTTTTTTATTATATATATATGAATATAAAAATATAATATTTATAATATATATAAGATAATAAAATATTAAACACAACATATTTAATAAACTAAATTTATATAATAAAATTATTATTATTATAATTATATATAAAAGTTAATTATTAATCAATTTCTGTTATTTTTATTTTTATTTTTATTTTTATTTTTTTATAAATAAAATTAATATTTATATAATTTTATTAATAATGTAAATATATTTTTCCACGTTTTAATAAAAAAATATATTTTATATCTTTTTATTATATTTATGTATTTAAAATATATATTTATTATAAAAAATACAAAAATATATTTCAAAATTTAATATTTATTATAAATGATTTTATTTTATGATTGAGTCAATAATTTTTTTTTTTATTCAAAAAATTATATAATAAAATAATAATAAGTAGTAATTTATATTCTTATTTTATTAAGAATTTTAAAATATTTAAATGTATTGTATTTTTAATAAATTTTACATTATATAATAATTATAAAAATTATTTAAAAAATATATTTTTATACATATATAATATTTATTATATTTTGGATATTTTTTTTATTATCATATTATTATATTATATTTTATAAATATAATAAAAAAATATTATCAAACATTTTTAATAATATATAAGATTTTTGTATAAAAGCTTATTATATATCTATTTTTAAAAAAATAAAATAAATAATTAATAAAAGAAAATATTTATACAAAATTAGGTTATCTGAAATTTATTTTTAAATAACTAATATAAATTTTATTTTTAATTAAAACAAAAAAATTAATATTATTTTTCTTAATAAAATATAAATATTTTATAATATATTATAATAATATAAATTTATTTCAAATATTTTTAAATAACAAATACACATTATTTATATATTAAAATTAATAAATGTATTAGTTATAAATAAAAAAATATATAAACTTATACAAGAATTTTATGATAAAAATTTTCATTTATAACAACCATATTATATATTTTATTTTTAATTTTTTTAAATTTATAACAATATAAATAAATATTTATTTAATAACTTTATATTAAATTTCAAATAAACAAATAGTTATTTGAAATGAATATGTATAAAAAATTATAACTTAACCTAACTTAACTTAACTTGACTTAACTTAACTTAACTAAAAATTATATATATATTTATAAAATAAAATAAGTTAATCCAATAAAATATTAAATGGAAATTCTTACATTGCATATAATTGTATAAAAAAAAAATTCTTAATATATATTTAAAAAATTAATATTTAACAACTCTTGAATGATATAAAAACAGTTATTTATTAACATGTAAAAAATAAAAAAATATAATTAATAAAATTATAATTATTAAATATTTTAATAAATAATATTATATAATGTTAATTTAATTAATTTTTAAATTTCTTTTTAAAACATATAGTATTTTAAATATAAATATATATACATATAGCTTAGTTAATTTTAAAATAAAAAATGATTTAAGAACCAAAAACTCAATTTATATTATAAAATATAAACAAAGAAATCGAAAATGATAGCCTAAAGCCTCCAGTCCGAAAGCGTTTATAAGCTGATATTCATAAAAAAAAAACAGAAAGACACACCTTATATTCAAACAACTAAATGTAAAGTTTTTTAAAAAACAAACGAAATAAAAAAAACCCTTTAGAGTAAATAGATTCTAAAATAAAAGATTAAAAAGGCTATATAGGAAATCAAATATAAAGCAACCTCTATTAAAATTTCTAAAAAATATACGATAATAAAAAATTTAGCAAAAAACAAAACCAAAATATAATTCTAATTTTAAAACTGAAATAATTAGCTGGAATTTTGGCTAAATCGACATGCACCCGCCGATACAAAATTTTAAATAAATAATAATATGAATTAATAAACGATTAAACTCATTTTCAAATAGATTAAAATCAAAATAATATTTTTTACCAAACAACTAATAAAATTAAATCCAGAATAAAGAAATTTCTCCAAAAATTAAAAAACAAGGAAAAAATTAAATAAATATACGACTATGTGAGTTATTTTCCTATATTTTCCCCTTCAAACGACCTTATTTTCATATGGAATTTATTGTAATTATGTAATATTTTCTTCTTCCTTTTCCTTATTCCTATTGTTGTTACTTTCGATTTAGATTTTTCAGACATTTTAAACTAAAAAATCATTAATTTTGGTATTATTATATTGTTTTTGGACATTCTAGTTAGTATAAACACTTATTTTTACGAAAAAGGTTTACCTATAAAAGATCGAAAATAGATAATAAAATAATTTTTTAAAAAAACCTTTTCTCCGATATAGTCAGTGTTTCTCCTTTAATTTTATATTTTACTATTTATTAATTTTTAATCCCCCTATTTTTTTTAAACTCATCAGAGTAAGTATAATTACCCATTAAATTGAAGAAAGATTCAATTTAAAGCCTAAAACAATTAATATAATTGAATTAATTAAACTTTTTCTTACAGTAATAATCGTAGCCCATTTATTTGGTTCAATTTGGATTTTTGTAGGTTAATTTGAAGAATAAACTCTAGGAGTATCTTCTTGGTTGACTAAATAGGAGATCATAAGTTCATAATGGTATATTAAATATATAAAAGCTTATTATTTTGCTACTGTAACTATGATAACAGTTGGTTATGGAGATATAGGACCAGTATATATACATATATAAATATTTATATATATATATATATATGCAATTTTAAAGGTAAATGAAATAGAAATGATGCTTTGTGTATTTACTATGCTTATTACTTGTGGTGTATTTGCTTATAGTGTTAATTGTATAGGAATGATTTTGACTGATTTTAATAGTAGAGAGAAGGAAATAAAGGATAATTTATTTGTGATAAATAATTATATGTAAACTAAAAATGTAAAGCCTAGTTTATAATATTAAATTAAATAATATTTAGAGTATTATTGGAAAGAAATGTAACATTAAAATACAGAAAAAGAGGAAAAAATAATCGATTAACTTTCAGATTCTTTGAAAGAAAAATTACTCATAGAAGCTAATAAAATAGTACTTTCAGACTGTCAAATTTTCTCAAATAACTTCACTGATTAAATAGTTAATAGTACTGTTAAAATAATCAAAGAATTAAGAGTTAATCCTGGTGAAGTCCTTTGTTTAGAAGGTACTTAAGATAATTGTGCTATTTATTTTATTTAAAAAGGAGAAGTAGAAATATACATAGATTCACTTTATAATTCCAGTCTATCTAAAAATGTACACCTTAAAAAACTTAAAAAAGGCGATAATTTTGGATGCGTATCTTTTTTTACTGGAAATTTAAGAAGTCATTCAATTAAAGCAGTAGATTTTTGTACACTTTTAATGATAAAAAGGTATAAAAATAAAAAATATATATATCTATATATATATTAATATTTTTTTTATAAAACATTTTTTTATATTTTTATATATATATATAATATAAAGATAAGATTTTATTGATTTATTATTAAAAGAATCAAGAGAAGACTATGAGATGTTTTGTGCTATTAAAGATAATATTTTAATTAATAAAAATTATGAGCAATTATTTACAGAATGTTTTTCTTGTTAATAAAAAGTATATATATTTATATTTTATATACATATATATATAGTTTTTATAAGGACCATTTAATAGGTGATTGTACTTATATACATTTAAGAATAAATAAAGATAATATAATATAAAAACATGTATTTTCACCTTTTTAAATTCATTGTAATGAATTTAGAAGATAATGTGAAAAAAAAAGAAAAACTTTAAGTTAAAATATTGATTGGGTAGATTAATTTTAAGAAGAAAACGAATATTTTTTAGATTTATATGAAGATTAATTTAGTATAAATTCATATTCATCGGAGGATTTAGAAGTAGGTGTTTCTAAATAATCATTTAGTGTATATATATATATATATATATATATATATATATATATATATATATATATATATATATATAATATTTTAATCTAAAAAATTTAAATGAAAGTAAAAACACACCAATAGTTATATAGATTCTGATTAATAATCACTAAAAAGATTAAGTTTTGTAAAAAACGATTATTCTAATAATTAAATAAATGTTGGAAGTTCATATTAAAATAATTAATACAATACAGAATAATAATCAAAATATTAAATATAATCAGAACTAGAAAATGGAACATAACAAGACCTATAAAATACAGAAGAAAATTATTAAATTTCACAAAAACAAAAAGGTTCTTATCTTACATTTGAAAATGAAGAAAAAATAAATGAAAATAACCATAAATAAAAATAAAATTCAAATAATTTATATGGAAAATCTGAAAATAATAGCATTATATAATAAATACATTAAAAATAAATAGCTAATAGCAACTAATATACATAAAATAGTAAAAGTATTAATAATAACCAAATTTCAAAGTCAAAAATTTCAGTCTAAAAATCTTTCCGTTCTTAAAATTTATTAAACTAATAGGATACATTAATAGCTGATACAGCTTTAATTTTCGATAAAGTATGTTCTTTTAATAATTATTTTCCTGAAAATAATATATAGAAAGTCTTACTTATAGCTAATATGAAAGAAAAAGAACGAAAAAAGGTCTTAAATAAGATTTATCTGAATAAAAAAATGAGAAAAGCTAGAAAAGCAGATCCTAATAATTAAAATATTCTCTTTAATAAATTCGGTTAGTTAATCTTGAATTTTTAAAATGAAGAAATTAAAAAGAACTAAGAAAATAATAACCAAGAAAAAATAAAAGCCTCAAAAAAAAATAATAGTCAGGAAATTAATTCTAATAAATAATCTTCATTTTTTGGTGAAGAAAGTATAGATAAATCTTAAACAAAAATTTAAATTAAACAAGAAAATTAAAGTTTCTAAAATGGAAATTTTTAAATTACTGAAAATATTCAATTTACAAATAATACAGAATATAGTATTAAGGAAATTAATGATGATAGTTTATTAGATTAAACTAATATTATATTTAAATGTAAATAAACAAATTAATATTTCGCTAATAATTAATGAATATTATTAATAAATACCTAAAATATATATTATATATTAATATGTATATTTTTTTTATATTTTCATAGAATTACATAATATAAAATTTGTTAATATATTTAACAAAAAAATAAAATGTATAAATTTTTTAAGTTTATAATATAAAGTGATTTTGAATTAAATAAAATAAAAAATATTAAAATCAAATTTTCTTAAGTTAAATATGAAATATAAAATTTTTTAATCAATATCAAATTCTTATTAATCAAAAACAGAAATTAAATATTATAATATATTTATTTATTACATATTAAATTTTTATTTTCTTATAAAATTAAAGCTAAATATTATTATGTTGAAATAATTAAAAATTATAAATAAATTATGCTTTTATTAATAAAAAAGAAAATATTAAAATATTTATTTGCAAATATATAATATTATAAATAAAATAAAAAATTAAAATATATTATAAATATTTTAAATTTTTTTAAAAATATTTATTTTTAAGAATTTTTTTAATAAAAATAATAAATATATAATTATTAAATTTTTGTTAATCAATTTGTCAATTAACTATATTCTAATTATTTTTATTCATTTTCTTTAAAAGCAGGATCATTAGTATAACCAAATTTAACATCTTCTTCACTTTTTAATTAAATATCTTAATCTACAGTCATTTCATTTTCATATTAAATTTTATTTATATTGTTTTATTTTATTGTAAATTTTCCACCAAACATATTATAAAACATATAAAAAATAGCTAAACTAATCATACATATAGTTAAAATGATAACAACATATAATCCTAAAATAAATATATAAATATAAATATAAATATATATATTTAAATATATATATATATATATATATAAAATATATATATTTACAATTTTTTTTTATATTAAAATTTATATTTTTTATATATATTAATATAAATAAATATTATTATATAAATTATTAAATAACCTAAGTTAGGATGTATTTCATTTTATGATTGTTTTTTAATAATTTTTATAAAGTTTTCATAATTTTTTATAAAATCTTAATCGTCATTGGTTTTTTAAATATTTAAGGAATTTTAATTCATATGAATAGTGGAAATATCTTTATTACTACAAACTGATTTGATAAAATGAATTTCCTTTTTTTCAGTATCAAAAAGTACATCGAAATTTTATAAAAAATAACTTCCCAATTAAATATCATTATTTTCTTTATTTTCTTCAAAAGCAAAGGCATATAAATTTTAATCATTTTTTTTATATAAATAAGAATTTGGACTCCATTAAATATTTTTATTTCCAAACTAAAAATTCAAAAAAGGAAAACTATCAAAAAAACTATTTAAATTATTCTAAAAAGTAACTTAATTAAATTAAAATTCAGTTTAATTTTATTAAAATCTAATTTTTCCACCACATAATTTTTTTTCTTCACATATTTAATTTATATTTTAAACTAAAAGACTGTAATTTAATTTTAAAATATAAACATAAATAATATATTTTACTTATAAATTTATTTGTTAAATTAAATAAACTTAACTTATATGTTAAAAATAGCAATTTATTATACAAAATGAATTTATATATCATTTACCTATATATAAAATAATAAACTAATATTTAAATTAAAATATTTAAAAATATAAAAAATATAAAAATAAATGAATTAATATATATAACTATATAAATATACAAATAAGTATATAATATGTATAAAAATATATATATATATATATATATATATATATATATATATATATTATATATATTTTTAAAATATATATATTTTTTTTATACATAATAATGTATATGTATATAATATTTATATTTAATTTATTACACTAATTTTATCAATTTTTACTTCATATAATCCCTTTTAATTTTCTAAATATGGAAAAATTACTGTTTAATCATTTTTATTTTCTTAATCATTATGTAATTCATAATTATATCCACCTATACTCATAAATCCTCCATCATGATTATTTAAACATAAAGAAAAGGTTTTAAATTCATTATTTTTTTTATGTTAATTATAAAAAGCATCTATTACATTAAATTTTTTAAATTAATTAATACCAGCAAGTCCTAAAATTCCATTATAAACAATATCTTTATTGTTATTTTTTTCTATACACCCTACTATTATATCAACTGCTTCATGATGTATATAAGTAATAAATTCTTCCTAATCTTTTTACTTATCAAGAAATTCATCACAAAATATAGCTTTATCTTAAATATAAAAACCTTCTGTTTTATAACTTTTCCATATGCACTTATCTTCTATATTTTAACATTAATTTTCACATAATTAATATTTTTCATCATTTTAGCATTCTATTTTTTTTTTGTAAAAGAGTTATTTGTTTCGAAATAATAATCTGCGTTTTAAGTTTATTCGCAATATAATTATAATAAATGGGATTTTGTGTCTAATTATACTATTTATTTTTAAGGAGGAGTACCTATATATATATTTAACCAATAATAATTTAATGAAGGAGAACTATGTAATTATATTGTATGAATTCTTTCGTAATAATACTAAAGATTTTCTTATTAACATATACTATATAAGATTTTTATTAGAAATAATGATGTAAATATAATATTCATTTATTTGATTTTATATATAAAAGGATATTTTATAATTAAAAAGTTAATATATAATTAATAGTTATAGTTTAAAAAAAAAAAAAATTATTATGATTTATTAGAAATATATATATATTTTATTAATTATAATAATATAATTAAAAAAAAATTTTATAATTTTAAATAATATATATATAATATATATATATATTTATAGATATATAATATACAAATTATTAATTTTATTTTTTTATATAAAAATAATTTAAATAATAAACTAAATATATTTTTTATATATTTTTAACTAAAGATGAAAATTATAAAATATTTGTATATGAAAAAATTAAAATTATTTATATATTTTAATAAAAAATATTAATTATATAGTTAAAAAAAAAAAATTAATTTTTTTTTTTAAAAAAGAAGATAATTCATTTAAAAAAAAATGAATTTTTAAGATAGATTTAAAGGTAAAACCTCATTAATGACAATTTAGGGTGTATATAGTTTAATAAAAGAGACAGATAATCCTATTCCAAAAAAAATTATACAAAATCAAAATGAAAATGACATTAAATGTATTTTATTATTATTTTATCATTAAAAAATAGTTTAAAAAAAAGAAAGTTAATCATATCTTTCTGATAAAAAAAATTAAAGCCTATTATATTTTAAAATAATCATGATTAAAAACCCAAAATTGATATAAAATCCGATAATATAATAAAGTAAAATTAATAAAAATAATTTATTAAAATTAAAAAATAAACAAAAAAGCGATAAAAATAAAAAATAAAGTATAATTAAAAATATTCCTTAAACAATAAGAGTAAATATAATATTTATATATATATATATATATATAATATATATATTTATATATTTATTTATGTGTATATAAATATTATAATATATAAATATAAGTCTTCAAGTTCAAATAATTTAGATATTTTAGATAAATAAATAGAATTAATGAACAAAGAAAAATAATTACAAAAAATATAAAATACAGATATAGAAAAAAAATCATAATATAAATACAATATATAAAAAAAGCCATTTGTTGTATAATAAGGAAAATCAGAATTTAATTAAAAAGCTAAAAATGTATAAAATACGGTTTTTAATAATAATACAACTAAAAATAGTTAAAATATGATAATGATTTAAAATAATATATAAACAAACAATAATAAAAATTAAGATTAATAATATAACACATATTAATTTTAAAGCTATCTTAATGATGAAAAATCAAATAATAATTATAACCGAATATATTCTGCTAATATGAGTCCTAATTTTATATTTAAATAAAATGAAAATTATTAAGAAAAACCTTAAAAATATAATCCGTCTATAAAAACTATTTTTAAACCTGAGAATTATAATTACGGTGGTTTAGGCCCCAATATAGGTGGTGAAGACTGGAAAATAAAAATCTAAATGCAAAATAAAAAATAAGAATTTGCTAAATTCGTCCAACAATAAAATTCTTCAATTATATAAAAATAAATTACCTCAGGAAAAATAGCGTAAAATAAGCCAAATTATCTACCGACTTCAAGAGAAAAAGCCCTATAATTCTCTAAAAGTATACCTAAACCATGGGAAAGATTATTAGATGAATAAAATAAGAAAACTATTTCAAGTATACCAGAAAAAATAAATGAAACTTATGATGAATATGAATAATAACATTTAGAATTTCTTAATAAAATCGAATAATTAAGTAGATGAAATTTATATATATAAATATATATATTATTATTAATATTTTTATTTATTTTATATTATGTTATTTAAAAAAAATAAAAAAAAATATTATTTACAAAAAAATAAAAAAAAAAATTTAAATTTTTATTATACAAAAAAAAAAAAGAATAAAGAAATTTAAATATATTTTTTTTTAAAAAAAAAAAAAAAAAAACTTAAAAGTATTTTTTTATAATAATAATAAAATGCTTCGTAATATGATGGCAAATTTATTTGCTAATTACTAAAATATGCATAAAATAATTGAAAATACTGAAGGATCCATATACTTAGGAGACTATACTGCCGCATTAGATGTTAAAACTTTAAAAGAGAATAACATAAAAACAGTAATAACAACAGCTAGTGGTTTAAATATAAAATATTAACCAAATGATTAAATAAATCATAGATAATATAACTTACTAGATAATGAAAGTTAAAATATAGCACAATTTTTCCCAAACACATATAGAGATATTGAAGATGGGATTAAAAAAGGTTCTGTTTTGATACACTGTGCGGCTGGAATAAGTCGAAGTGCAACTTGTTTAATTGCTTATATCATGAAAAAGAATCTTATGTCGTATAAGGAGGCTTTTAATTTGGTAAGTAATAAAAGGAAAATAATTTGCCCAAATTCAGGTTTCATAAGTTAATTGAAAAATCTTGAAAAAATATTGCTTGCAAAGGAAAAATAATAAGAATAAAAAAAGGACAGAAAAGTAACAGAATAGCTATGTTAAAGAATTTAAGATAAAATAATAATAATAATAATAATAATAATAATAATAATAATAATAATAATAATAATAATTATAATTTAGAAATATAAGGAAAAAAACGCTTTAAATTACTAGTCTTAATGAAGATTAAAATTAATAAGGACCATAAATAGTCACTTATCACCCTAAAAATAACCTTTATTTAACTTATAAGCCTAAAAATTAAATTAATACAAAAAATTAATTATAAGTTAATTATTTCAGGAAAAAAATAAATAATAATAAATATAATGATATTTTATTATAAAAAAAATGAATAGAAATTATATATATATAGATAGCGTAAAAAAAAAAGAAAAATTAAAATTAAATATATATTTATTTATAAAAAAAAAATTAAATGAAAATAAAAATCATATCAAAAAAATAATAATATTTATGTAATATTAAAAAAATAACATTATAAAAATATAGTTTAGACCATTGAAAATTGCTAAAAATGATTATATTGAAAATTAAATAAATTTATAATACAATAATAAATAAAAAAATATTTTGAAAAATATAATATATAAAAAAATAAATAATAAAAAATGTGAAATATTTATATATTAATAAATATATATATATTTATATATTAAATATGTATTAATATATTTATATATATACCTATCTATTCATTATCTATTTATACTATATTTATATATATTTTTTTATTTATAATTATTATGATATATTTCTTATATTTTTATTTTTTACTAAAAAATATTTTTTTAAGATTATCTCCATTTTTATTTATATTTTTTTTGCATTAGAAATTTTTTTTTTTACTTGATTTTAATTTTAAATTTAATTTAAATTTAAAGTAATATTTAATTAATATATATATTATATTCTAAATAATAAAAAATTTTTTAAATAATCTCATTTTAATTTATATAATATACACAAAAAGATATATTTTAATTAAATGTTCTTTAGAAAGTTTTAATTAAAAATTATTTTCCAAAAATATGTGATAAATTAAATATACATAAATTAATATATAAAATAATTTTATTTTTTAAAATATTGTTATTTGTATTTTACTTTTAAAAAATATTTAAACACTAATGTTTTAATTTTATTTTAATTCATTAATGCCGTATAAAAATCCAAGAATAAAATATAAGTTTATTAAATTATTTAATACCTTATTATATAGTATTAAAGACTCTATTAATTTTTTAATTTAAGAAAAAATATAGTTAAAATCTATAATAAAAAATAATTTATATTAATAATTTTACTACCTTTAAATCTTTTTTTTATAATAGAATTAAATTTATTTAATACTCGATAATTATAAGAACCATAAAGTTTAATTTCAAATTAATTTTTTTTTTTAATAGTTCATATCAAAACGCAAAAAATTAAAAATATATAATAGGTCTATTGTATTTATTAAATAGTTAAAATAATTCATTAAAGAAGTATTTAAAATAATTAAGATTTGATAAAATTAATATATATATATAGATAATTATTATGTTAAAAATAATATATATATATATATTTTTTTAATTTTTTTTATTTTTAATAAATCCATTATGAAATTTTATTTATTAAAAAATATAAATTAATAGATATTAAATTTAATTGTATTATTATATATATATTTCTTATATATTAATATATATATTATAATATATATATATATAAGCAAATTTAATAAAAAAAAATATTTATATTATTAATTTTTATTATCTATATAAAATAAATATATTTTTAATGAAATTATTAACATAACAAAAATTAAAATAAATAATTGTTATTTTCTTTTATATAAAATATATTATTATATATAAAAATATTTAATTTAAAATAAAAAATTTTAAAATTAATATATTTTTATGTAAATATAATTAAAATATATTTATATAAATTTTTTTTTATTATATTTAAAATATATTTTGTATTTTTCTTTTAATAAATTTATATTTAACTCTATATAAATACATTTTTAATATTTAATTATATATTTTTTAATCCATTTTTTATAAAAGATATTATATTTTACATAAAATGTAGTTATTTGATTTATAATTAGAAAATTTAAATATAAAAGAGCTTCTGAAAGATTATGACAGTCCATATATATATGAAATCGATCAAAAAGAAAATATTTCGATTACTGAATTAATGAATGTATTAATTGAAATAATAAATTAACATAATTTAAATTAAGAAAACAATTAAAATTATAATATTAGATAAACTTTTTACAATTATATAGTATATCTATTTTTTTTTTTAAAAAAAAAAAATCTTGATTAATTTTATTTTATTAAAAGTTTTAAAAACTAAATAATTTAGAATAAAAAACTATATAAACATGCATTGAATACTATAATATTTTATATCAATATTCATTGAAATATATGGAAATGAGATTAATTTTATTTTTGTTTTTTTAAGAAAATGAAAGTGTACTTCCTTCTTTTTATCTAAAAGTTCGAATAAAAATTATTGAAAAAATCAATGAAAAAAACCTTTGTTTACTTGACGAACATGTAATTAATATTAATGATTGGGGCTATATTTGTTCGTAAATTTTCGAATAAAAAAAAGCTTAAATAATAAATAAAATAGCATAAATTATTATGTAGGATTAAGAACAGCTATGCATTTAAGATTAATATTTTACGTATTTTCTTAAATATATAAAAATTAATATAAATAAATATATATATATATAAATATATATATATATAAATATATATTTATAAATAAATTTATATATTTTATTTTATATTTTAGAGTTAGTTGTGGAAGATTTTTATAAATATGTATCTGGATATTTATATAAGAAATTTAAAAATAATAAAATATGCCTAAACCACAAAAACAAAATAGTTAAAAATTAAATTAATAGACATTTTATAGATGGGGAATTAATATATTTTAAAGATAAGAAAAAAAAAAAGAGAAATGTATTTAATAAAAAATAAAAAATATTGATATTTTAGGATTAATTAATTCTATATAAAATAAAAAGTTTAAAGAAAAATATATATGATTTTTTTTTTATCATATAATAGTTATTTAATCTGGTTAGTAATTTAATTATTATAACAAATTATAACAGTTGTCTTTTATTTTTTTTAATAGAAATTAATATATATATAATAAAATTATATATAAATAAATTAAACCTGAAAATTAATTTTCGCCAGTTAAAAAAATATGCATATTATTACCTTTCTAAGGCATAAAGTCACTTAAATATTCTTTTCTTAATTTTCCTTTTAAAAACAGGAATTTATTATAATGCCTTTATTTTTATTTTTAAATTATTTATATATATATATTTATATATATATATATTTATATATACATACATTTTCTACTAAATTATTCAAATATATTTTCTTTTCTTAAGCAAACCAAGCTAATTCTTCAATAAGAACCGCATCTTCCTTTTTTTAAAAAATAAATAAATAAATATTTATATTAATATTATATTATTACCATATTTTAGTTGCATAAAAAAACAGAAACGCAAGTATTATCTCCATTTGTGCTAATACCTTCAATTAATTAAAATAAATTGCCAATATGATTTTATTATGCTATTATTCCTATATAATCTACTTTTTTTTCATTTTCTTAAATTTTTAATTTCCCGAAACCTTCATATATATATTTGTTTTATGATTTGCCTATATGTACTTTTTCTCCTTCTTAAAGTTAAAATAAATTCTACTAATTATGGTCATTTTAATTAGCAAGAATATCTACTATTTAAGGATCATCTATTCTGGAAATCGGATATATATTGCTCATATTATTTTAACTATTTCTATATTTTTTTTTTTAATTATTATTTATAATTGCTATTATTATTTTACATTATTTATATTTATTCCCCTATTTATATTCCTAGTACTTTTGATTCATCTTATAATTCTTTTTTTTATATTTTTAGTTAGTTTTTTTTATATATTATTTTATTTTTATTTATTTAAAAAAAAAATACTAAAACGCATTAAATAAATTTAATTTGAAATTTTTTTTTTTGTAATAAATTATGCTGGAACTATTTTAGTTTATTCATTTAATAAAGAATATTATGGCTTTATTTTAACTTTTTTTTTATATATTAGATTAATTTTGTTTGTTTGTTTATTTTTTTTTACAAGGATTAACTTTGCCTCGTAATAATTTTATTTAATAAGATAATTATGTTAACATTTTTTATTTTTTTTATATTAGATTAAATATCTTTCTTTTTAAAAAAATAAATAAATAATTAAATTATATTAATATAAAAAATCAATTTAAAAAAAAAAAAAAAAAATATTGTAAAATTATATAGAAAATTAAAACAAATTAAACAAAAAAATGAATATAAATTATCGAATTATATTTTAACCGCAAATAAATCTTATTTAAAAAAATAAAATTCTATCTTTCTTTTTTATTTTTGGATAAAATTAATTATTAAAAATAATAAAAAATGTATTTAATTATTTTTTTAGAATTAAATAAAACCAAAAAAAACAAAAAACAGATATTTTAATAGTTTTTAAATTTATAATAAAAATAAGAAATTATTAAAATAATTTTTAATATATAAAAAAATATATTATTATTAATTTTTTTTTATTTATAATTAATATTATTTAATTAGATATAATAAATAGATATTTATAATTTTTAAAAACTTATAGTAAATTGTATTATCGCTATTTCAATTCTAGCAAAAATAAGGTTATATTTTTTTATTTTTTCTCTAATATTCTAATTTATATATAAATATATAAAAATTTGATTTTCTCAATTAAAATAATAATCAAAATTAAAGAAGAAAAAATAACATTGAAAAAAAAAAATAACTATCTATATTCTAAAATTTATAAATAATCAATCAATCTTATTTATAGTTTTTTTAAAATTAAAAATTTTTAAAGCTAATTAATATGATTAGTATTTCTTTATGTTTTATATAATAATCCTTTGATATTTATTTATTAAGTTTTAACAGCTTTTTAATATGAAATTTATATTTTTTTTTATATATATAATATTAATTATTTAAATATCTGTAAAATATACTCTTAAAAATATTAATTTGGAATTTTGATTTTATTTTATTATAAAATAAAAAATTATTTTAATTATGAAAAAAAAATGTACCCATTATTACTATAAATTTGAAAAAATTATAAAGAATATGGCAAAGATACTTAAAGTAGATATATAAGTTAAAAATTAGATTTAAACTAAAAAATTACTAAGGAAATTTAATTTATTCTAAATTATTATAATATTTTACTTTATCAATTTTTAATTAAATAATATTCTATTGATATATACTAAATATTAAAAAATAAATGTTTTATAATCTTTTATAAATAATATATATTTTTAACAAAATAAAAAAAATCTATATAAAATTTGAAAAATTTTTTTATGTATTTTATATAATAAATTTTCATTTATTTTTGTTCAAAATCCAAAAGCAAAAAATCCGTCTTAATTATTTTCGTCACCTTGTATTTCTTCTTCAATTAATTCTTGATTTTAATTAATTCTTAGATGTAAAAGATTACATATTCTTGTACTTATTAAATATATTTTTAAGAATTTTTTTTTTTTTTTTTTTAGTTTTAAATACAAATATTAGGGTGTTTATAAAATATTCACGTCTTTACTTAAAGGCAATTTAGGATATATTTCTGTCAAATAATAATATATATGACCTACTAAAATTCCAATTAAATCCGTTATGATAGTATCTTAAAATATTATTTATAAAAAAACAAAAAACCAGGTTATATATGGGGCTTGTATAGGAATAATTCCAAATATATGGACCATTATATTACTGTTTTTTCTACTCCATAAATATAAAATCATATTTAAAAATGAATCTGATAAATTATAAAGGCCAAATATTGATGCTGTTGACTGTAAATTAGTAAAATAAAAATATATATTTTTATAAAATTTTTACAGTTAACAAGCATATACCGAAAGATACAAAATAAAAATAATCAATTGTATTTCCTCTAAATGAATATTCTTCTAATCTTCTTGAAAATCGATAACTTTTTATTTGATTTTAAATTAATTTATAATAAAAAAATTTACAATAATAAAAGCTTAAATGCTGTCCCTAATTTCATTTCACCAAAAAAAATATATTAGTAATGATTCGCCAGAACTATATATTATGCATATTATTTTTATTTGGTTTTTATTTTTACTTAATAATTTTAAGTTATTAATTTAAAATTAAAATATAAATTGTATGAATTAACTAAATCTATGTATGTTAATAAAGTCAAGATTATAGATAAAAAACACATTATTCTAGTTAGAGGTGGAATATCAGTAATTATTTATTATAACATTTATATTTTTTAAATTATATATAATTTTAATTTAAATATATAAATAAAAATAAAAATTAATATGTATATATATATAAATATATATATACATATATAAAATTTTTTAATTTTTCTTAATTAAATATATTTTTATACAGATTTAATAAATTTTTTATAATTTTTTTTTTTTCTAGAAAAATATGAGAATTAATAAATATATTTTTATTAATACTTATTGTATTTTAAAATAATTTATATTTTTTTTATGTTTTTTTTTTTAAATAATAAATTTATTGATAACTATATAAATTTAATTTTTTTCTAAACTTAGTTTTTTATTATATATTTTTTAATTAATATAAACACAAAAAACATGAATATTAAAAAATCAATAATTAAATAAAAATATATTAATTTTTAATATTATATAAATATAAAATAATTAAATGATATTTTTATCCTAATTATTATTTTATTAAAATACTATTTTTATTAATAAAAAAAATATTATATAATTTAAATTTATTTAAATAATAATTAAATTTTAAATATATAAATAAACTTATTATTATTCAAAATAGATTCGCAGTTATTTAAATCGTATTTTTAATATTCTTATTTTAACAATTATTTTATTATTAAAGTTTAAGTATATTTTAATATTATTATACTTAATATTTATTTTAAATTATTACTTATTTAAAAATTAACATTTTAACGTTTATTATTTTAAATTTTTCTTTTATTTTTTTTTATTTAATAGTAATTTTTTATATTCTTATTTTA